AGGAAGTATTGTATTCAGAACCACCCTGTACCAGTGCCTCCAGATAGAAACCCTATACTATTTGTCCTTAATCCCTTATTTTCATAAATAGTGTCAAGCTCAGGACTAAATGCATAGAATCTTCTTCAAAAGATCAGATATTCTTAAAAAAAAAAAAAAATCAGGTATTCTCTTTGGTAGATGAACACAGGCTTATTCAGGACAGAAACATTCTGATACCAAGGGAGTATGCCTTACTAACAATATGGCCCTTGTCAACAACATATAGTCTACACATATCACACAGGAATATAAGGTCAGCAAGTAGGAAAATGAAAGTAGGAGAAGCAAAGAATTTAGAAAGTAACTAAAGTGGACAGCTAATGCCAATTCATGATTATTTAAAAAAAAAAAAAAAGTCAACTTGTGAAGATGTTGGCTAAAATACCAGTTTTCAAATTGATTCCTATAGTTCAGGATCATGTCACTCACATGTTAATATGTAGGCAGGGAAAGTGTACATTGAAACATTATGTACCTAGATTTTTTTTTTTTTTAACTTTTCAGAGGTAATGGTTGAAACTAAGTTAAAACTAGATTTTGACGTTACCAGTGGATTTTCCTGTGACCCAGTGACAATTACCAGGTAACAATAAAGCAGAATTCCACCAATGCTGTTAATCTAAGGCAGTATTAGTTTTCCTTCTAATTAGTTGGCATGGTAATCCTAGCAGGAACCTTAAAGGATTTTCCCTGATTTCCTTATGAAATCTCATCATTTGCAAAGAGCTTTAAAATGACTGAATGAAGGAAAAGTATTATGACCTGTGATCCTTGGAGCCCAAACAGCATCATGAAGAGCATCCTTAGAGAAAGTAGCTATCAGAAAAAGAAACAGCTTTAAAGGATTCCTTTTGAGTCTTGTTTTCTATTCAGAATGTTCTATGTTTTTCTCTCATCAAGTCTGCAAATGACATTTATCTTAGTAGGCTACTTAACTACACTGGATGATGATGTCATTCTAGCCAGTGTAGGGCACTGACCCAAGTCCTGGGAGGATCCATGGACCAATGGACTATTTACCTGGGCAGTGGTAGGGCTGGTGTATTTTTGATAATCAGACATTCCAATGTAATGTTTTCCTTAGCAGTCACACACCCCCATTAATGTTACTGTGAAAAACATCGTGTGTTCTTTTCTATTTTCGTATAATAAACGGGCTTTGCTTACCAACATCATAATGGCAAAGAAGAACTATACTGTACAAAACTGCAGGAAGATAAACATGTGAAAACTTTCTATGGAAAAAAAACAAAACCCTCTTTTCTGTCGTCTTCTTTTGAAACTGTAGTGCGTATGTTAAAACATGTGTATCATTTACAGTATTTCGTCGTGTGCCACTGCTGTACCTGATGTATCCAATCTTGATTAAACAATGTGCCACAAACCCTAAAATGATTATGAATGTTTATTATCAAGTCTCTTTTTCTTCCAGAGGTACTACTATATACTAGAAAACAAAGAGGCTTTCTACCCTGATGAACTGAGAGAATCTCAGAAGGGTGCTTTAAAGGCCTAATCTAACCTTCCCTCCACCCCAACACAAGCACCTCTTCCACAACATCCCTAACTGTCCTTGCCTGTCTGTAGGCTTTAGTGATGCGTTCACTTTCTAACATTTGATTGTCTGTCAACAGCCCTATTTTATGGCCCAGCCCTGTAATATTGAAAGACAATCTGCCTTTAGTGTCAGTCTTGGTTCTAGTCTCTGAGGCAATGTCTCAAACTAAAAGAACTTTGTTTTACAGGCTATAGAAGAAAGCTTGGACATCAGGTAGTAGAAGCTACTAATTTAGGTTCTATCACTTACCTATTTGACTTCGTTACTTTCTCCTGGTTTTGGTTGGTTTCAGCTTCAAAATGGAAGGGACTAGATTATCTTGAAGGTCCATTCTAACCTTAAATTCCCACAGTTCTGATTTAGGTGGTGAGAGCAACAAGCATTTTATTTTGTACCTTAATGCGGCAACAACAATGCAAATCTTTTCAATTTACCACAAGCAAATCCCAGTGAAAACAGTAATAGAACTGGAAATCTATGATGCCCAAAGCCCCTTAGAAGTTGGGCTATGAAATTCATTTCAATCAGATGTGCACAACCACATCACCCACTAGGTGTCACTACAGATCCACAGTTCAAATAATCTTGTGGTGCCACTTAACTAGAAACCAGATGTTTCTTGTTCTTTCTTCAAAAAATGTCAAATGGGACAAATGTTTGCTCCAGGTTCAAAACAGTAAACCTAATCTGCCAAAACAAGAGAATACCTTGTGATGGAGTTCCAGTGTCAGCTATGACTACCAAAAATCTGATTTGATTTTTTAAGATTAACATACGTTGATCTGAAAACCAGGTGCCGTCAAATGGACTCTGACTCACGGTGATCCAGTGTGTATCAGAGCAGAACTATGGTCCACAGGGTTTTCTCAAGGCCTGATTTTTTTCAGTGTGAGGCCTCTCGTCCCACATGCCTCAAGGGTAGACTTTAACCTCCAACCTTCAGTTAGCAGCCAGCACATTAACTATGTACACCACCCAAGGATGCCATACATTTATTTAGAAGGAAAAAACTCCAAAACCTACTCACTGCTATCGAGTTGATTCAACTCATAGCAACCCCTCCTTGGGTTTCTGAGGCAGTATCTCTACAGAAGTAGATTGCCCAATTGTCCTTCCAAGGAGTGGGCTGGTGGGTTTGAACTGCCAGCCTTCTGGTTAGCAGTCAAATGCCTTAGGCACTAAAAACCACAAAACCCTAAAACTTCAAACTCCTTGCCTCATACAGGTTGATCTAAAGCACTGTAATTCCTGTTCAGTTATTTTTAGTATTCAGGGGCTGAAGTTTACCTTTAAACCATGTGTTTTTAAAAAGGTTAGTACTGTAATACGGGAGCTACTTTAGAAAATACTACTTTTAATTTCCTAAAAGAATAATTTGTATTCTAAGTCACTGCTACCCAATGATAACTCTAAAGCAGGTTCCCAAAGATCTTCTTACATGTCAATACTGCTAGCCTAATTCAAGTCAATTTAGGCTTTACAGGAACAAGTCTCGTAAATGCATTGATTTTAAAGCTTTCTAAAATTCAGACATTTAACCATGTCACACTAGACCTCATCCAAACAGCCAGAATTTATAAGACTCTATATTCACTAATCTTAGGATTCTTTTTGCAAACTAGAAACTTTCTCTTCAATATTATTCATATATTAAATTTTAGAACTGGACGAGACCCTATAAAAATTATCTAGACTCCCTCATTTCATTAATGAGAAAATTAGACTCTGAAAGGTTAAATGACTTGTGCACAACCAAAAAAAAAAAAAAAAATGTTAAGATATTCTGCAGTGTTCTTTCCACTACATCACAGGGCATTCTCAAATTTACCTTAAATCTGTCTGTGGTTCCTAACAGGGTATGGGGACAAGCACCTAGACTGCCAATTCTAAACAGCAGGAAGTTTTCCACACACCACAAACATACAGCCATGCACAAAGAGCAGGAAACATTACATATCCACCACTGTACCTCCCTCCCTTATTTGGGACAGCGGCAACTGAAACTGCCCTAACAAATGTTTATGTTAAGTGCAGCAATTAGCATTTTTTAGTATTATTCATATCATCACATCCAGGTTATTTTTCTATTAAAAAAATAAAAACACAAAATAAGACAAACCTAAAGAGAGAATCCAATTAATTTCAAGATTAATGGGTAACCTCATCTCTAATTAAGATGCAGCAGTATCCTAATTAAAACCCCCTAGCAATGACAAACTGTGAACTTGGCTGCGTTGTAGGGGAAAAATAGAAAAAAAAAAAAAATAAAAGGTAAGTTCAATTATATAGCAAAGACAGGATCTTATTTAAGTGTGTAATTAAAGTCTCTACTTCTTAATGGCATACTGGACCTAATTATGGATTTGCTATTTATGGTGTTAATTAATTCATTCTAACTTGGCAATACATGTACAGTACTGATACATATAAGTAAAGCCTACCAACCCAAATGACAGGTACCCAAATTAAACAGGAGTTTAGGACTGCTGCTATGTGGGTGTTGGAGAGTAAATGACAATGGCTGTAGGTGTTTGCTGACAGCCCTGGGGAAAAGTGTTTATACTGCCTCGACAATTATTTACACAGGAAAGAAGAGCTTTCCTTTTTAAAAGTGAATGCCCATCTCTATACAAAACGGGTTCTCATCACAAATCTAGTTCAGAGAAAGCTTTGAAAACCAAAAGCTCAATCATAAAAGAACTGCCACAGAAAAGTGGTGAGATATGCAACTTCCAATTATGTTTTCCTCAATAATAATTCCTCAAAACAACTGCTTCCTTTTGTTCCTAGTATTAGATGTAACAACTGGAGAGAAATTACTAGAAGACACAAGATTAGGACACACTGAAGAAATCTGACGGAATGAGTTCCAGCTTCCATGAAATACTTAAGAGCTCAGACTTTCTCTTAGTTTACCAGCAGAGCAGGTCTCTCTGGGTAGCGCAAAGGGTTTTTACTTAACTACTTAGGGTTGAGGATTCAACGGAAGAAATGAATTGGAAGAATGAGGATTCAATGGAAGGCCCAGCAATCTGTTCCCATAAAGATTACAGCCAAGAAAACTCTATGGAGCAATTTTACTCTAACACACATGGGGTTGCCATGAGTCAGAACTGACTTGATGGCAATGGGTTTGGTTTTGGTTTACCAGTAGGGCAGGGTCATTCTCAGCCTAAGTTCCACAGGATTTGTGAATCTCTTGAAATTACATATACAATTCTGTGATTATGGAACAAATTTTCTGGGGGAGAATCCATACTTTCATCAGATTCATACAGGGATCCAAGAATCAACATGATCCTTAGCTATTTAATGCATGGTAAAAACGTGAATAGCTCTCACAATCTCAAAGATAAAAGGCATTTAAAAGAGAAACAATAAACATGTCAACAAGTTTAGCTAAATTTGTGTTTTTACTGGAAACAAATTATTTTTACTGTAGGCAAATAGCACCAAATCAAGTGTTTTTGGAAAGTATGAGGCAATGTTTAAATACTCCTTTCTGCCTAAACCTAAAAGAAAATGAGATCTTCTGATCTCACATACTACAAAATCCTTTGCTACAGGAATACACCTTTATGGAAATGTACCCAAGGCTTTTTGTACAGAATCCCACAGCATAAACTAGTATTACTTTCCAAATCTCAAGTGTGTTTATTTTTGTTTTTTTAAGTAAGTAGTGGTATATATATATGTCTTCTTAAATGTTTCTTTTTGAAATGGCTTATAGAAAACAGCACTCCGGGACCTTAGCTCTATGTCCCAAAAATTCTTTCAAGAAAGTGATCCGTGAAGTTTCTTAAATAAAGAGGATAATAAACCTGGCCTAAATCTAAATAATCTGAAAAATAGATGTGTCCCAGTGGAAAACCTCAGGTCTTTCCATGTTCTTAAAAATGTCAGTAATTGTCACTCTGCTACAGGTCAAGAAGGATGGATATCCAAAGGTATTGCTAGTGGCTATTTCCCCACGGGCTCAGGTATATTCTATAATCACTGGTTACCACGCATCATTTCTTGTAGATAAACGGTATTCATGTGATAGGCTGCCATCCAATTTGGATGTCTCTGAGCATTCCAATATGACTGAGAAGCAGCAGCATAGTATTCCTGCCATGCCCTATAGTAAGCTCTCCAGTACTCCTCATAATCCTGGTAGGTATCAGAAAAACTCGGACGTGTCTCCCTGTGACAGTCATACCAACCATCTTCCTGGGGCTCTGTCTGTGATCGATAGGAAGACCTCCTGGGAAGGTTTCTCCGGCTATGCTTAGCTCTGTGGTTAGCCCCCTCTTTATGCCTTGCCCTTATCTGGATTTCAGGTGATTCCTGATACTCCTCCAGAATGGGGGTATCATTTCCATTCAGAGGTTGCTCCAAAGAGATATGGCCATGCAGAGGAGAAGACTCTGAGTCTTTCAGCTGAGTATCAGAAGAGCCTTCCACATATGACTTATTTCCTTTGCTCTGGGAAGAAGTCCTTGAGCTGTAAGAATCACTGTCACTCTCAGAGTCTCCAGATTGGCTACTACTTGCCAATATCTGCACTCTCTCTTCAGTAACTCTCTCTCTCACAAAACCATTCTGATGATTCACGGCCTGATCCCCAGGACCTGTGTAATGCCTGATGATTTCCACAGGTTTCTCTAACCCCTCTTTAATATAATGTTCATAATCCTCTACTAATTCTGCAAAAGTCAAAGTGCATGGCCGGTGGATTTTAAAGGAAGACAGACATGGAATTTTGGGGAGTGACACAGGTAAAGTTTCTTTGACCTGATGCTGACCACTGGTACAGTTTTCAACATGAGTCTGATCAGAATCCTTCATGTGCTCTTCCGGTGGAATGGCACAGCCCAGTTCTTTCGGCGACATTGCTTTTTCTGTAATTCCACAGTCTGAATGGCTTTTCCCAGGAAGCTTTTGTTTGGTATTACTTTTTGATTTGCTTGGTGGTACACATACAGAAGTAACTCTAGATGAAGCCATCTGGTTACCATGAGCTTTAGGAGTTTGAAAGGTTCTCTCTATTTTTTCAATTTGCTTTTTTAGGGTCTGGGTAGGCACACTTGCTAAGCCATATGTATGCACAGCAGCTTTAACTTCCACATCCCAATCCAAACATTCTTCCATCAGACCAGGAGGAATGGGATCTACATAAAAGAAAAGAAAAGAGCATTTGAAACTCATACTGCTAGACTAGCATTTTCTGAATGGCTTCATAAAGTTTTTCATAGTCAAGTAAGTTTAGGAAATATACTAATAAATTTATTAAAAGATCTACATGATCTTGAAGTAAAGCAATTTGCTCAGAAATATACAAGATATATCCCATCTTCACAAGCAACATTCCTCCCTTGGAAAAAGCTTATTCCAGGAGTGATGTACAATCTGCTGCAATTCTCCCATCTTTTCTCTCCTCTATCCTCCCAAACCCCTTCCCTTTACCTCACTACTGCTGAGAGTAAAACAAGATACTAGAAAATGGACTGTACTCCCAAAGCTTATCAACAGAGAAATATTACAACTACAAGTCTGTACACAACTAAATTTGTCAAGCTATATACCAACAAGGAAATCACCGCCCTCAACAGGGGGGAGAAAACCTCTATAAGGGAAAAAAGCTGGGTGGCTATGAAGAGCTGTGGTACCAGTGGCACTTTAAAAAATTAGCTTGCTCCAACTCTCTTAATTTTTGACTCCATCCAAGTATAACAATCTGCCTCCACCTGCATATTCAGACCTTTCCAAAGTGTGATTAATGTTAGCCTTAGGCAGAAGATATACAGAACTCCTGCTTTACAAAGACCATGCCTGTCCATTGTTGCTGTTGCTGCACCATATTCAGTGTCCTTACTAATACCTCAGGTTTGGCCCTCTGACCAGAACTCTGACTCTTATCAGAGTACTCTCTCAAACTCTAGAACCCTTGTTTGCCTGGACCTGTAATGCAGGCCTATTTCCCTCCTAGTTCTTTCCCCAGAAAACTCATTTGAATAATCTCTTGTCACACAAGTTCCCAGTCCTATATAGCTCTAACCATGACTATCATTCTCTCATGATTTCAGGGCTCTGTTAACATTACACAAAAGCAAATTTTATTTTTAATTACTAGATGTTACAATCGGAAGGTTGGGCAATCTACTTCTGTAGTGATACCGCCTCAGAAACCCAAGGAGGGGTCACTATGAGTTGGCTCTGACTCCACAGTAGTGCATTTGGTTTGGTTTTTAGATGTTATGATACTGAATCCTACCACAACGTAAGTTTAAAACCTCTTCTACCAATTTCCAACTTATTTTTCCTACAATATAATCATCTGACAGATCTCCAAAAGACTATTATTATATAGAGAGATAACTGGCATAATACATAATACAGAATTTTAGAACTGATAGAGAAGCTTAAAAATATTTATGCCAAAATAAATATTTTGTAAATCTGGACATTAAGTTTAGAGCAATGAAAAACATTTGTAAAAGATTATGAGTTATTACAAAGCCTTATCTACTAGCATCCATAGGAAAACCACATATGCACTTAGTCATAAAAGTAAGAAATTTAGAATAAAATACTATATTTATTCAATAATTATATAATATATTCCATATTCAAGGTCATGTATATACCAACCTTCTGATTAGTAATCAAATGCCTTGAGCACTGCACCACCAGAGCTCCCTATATACTATGTAGTATATACAATTTTATATGTATGTGTACACATATATATATAAATGTAAATGCTATATACACATTAACATGTAAAACAAATAAAGCATATTTCCACCAAGAGTTTTTGAGATTTTCTTGGAAAAGAGACCATGAATAGTTTCAAACTTTCATTGCTTCCAAGATGGCACTTAAAAAGCAGTGACAGATGATTCACTAAATTCACTCAAACTTTTCAAAAACAGTGTTTCAATTGAAGATACTGGTCCATTTATCCTTCCTGTGGTGACACAGGACAGTATGGTGAGAATTACCTTCACAGCAACATAGAATAGGTAAAATATTAAAGAATATAAGAGAATAAAATCAAATCATGAGGTCACAAACAAAAACGTAATGCTGATACAACAGTAAAACAGTTTTCATTTTTCATGTGCCAATAGTTAGCTTGCAGTTCGATCTCTGCCACTTAGCTATAAGTCAGAACCTGGGCAAATTAATGCCTCTATGCCTCACTGCCTTCATTTAAAAAAGTAGTTAATAGTATCACATATGTCATAGGTTGTAGTGAGAATTAAATGAGTTAGCATACATAAAGTACTTGGAACAGTACCCAGCACATCATAAGCACTCTGTGTTAGTGGCTACTGTTATTATTATTTGTATCATCATTATTATTATTTTGACAGCAAAATGAAACAGACAAAGTATACCTGGTAAAGGAAGAAGGTTGAGGTTACATTTCTGAGCAATTTTCATCATCGTATTTTCTTCTTCTCCCCGACAACAGTAAGTCACCGTTAGTCCTAATGTACCTAAAGCACAGAGGGAATGTTTAGTAAATCATAAATGATACTCTGGATCCACCTGCTACATTACAGATGCCTCCCCTTAAAAATAAGCATCCAAACTTTTTTTTTTTTTTTTTACCAAAACGACCAGCTCTGCCAATCCGATGCATATATGTCTCCCAGTCCGATGGTACATCCAGATTTACAACCAGATTCACCTTCTCAGCATCAATCCCACGGGAAGTCTTAAATTGAAGAAGACAGCAACCGTTTGTTTGCATTAACTGTAACTTGCCTACCAATGCCAATATCCCCCATAAGGCAATATTCTTCAACAAGAGCCAAATTAAGAACAAGAAGAGGAGCAGAAGAAAAGGAAATTAATTTCTAACAACTAACTAATTTTACAAAACTCAAAATATTAAAGACATTTTTAAGAAAGCATATATCTAACCTAGCACTGCAAAGATGATTATCATCTGGTAGTCTTGTTAGATACACCCACATAAAATAGATGACATCAGTACATCTGATAACTGAACATATGTCAAGATGGATTAGTCACCTAACTGAATACGAAATTTACCAGATCTGTGGAAATGAGGACTCTGCAATGGAACTGTTTCAGTTTAGCCATAGCATCAAGACGCTGATTCTGATTCATGTTGCCTAAAAAGACCCAAAAAGAACGTCATATAAAACAACTAAACTGATACACATTTATCAAATTCACAAAAAGCAGAAATCCCACCTCCCACTCTTAACACTTTAAATATATCAAGCATAGTTAATCTTGTTCTGTGCATATCTGGGTTAAGACCCAAAGTCAGAATTTTATTTAGGCCCAAACTAAACCCAACCCACTGCCATCAAGTCAATTCCAACTCACAGAGACTCTACACACAGAGCAGAACTTGCTCACAGGGTTCCCAAGGCTATAAATCTTTACAGAAGCAGAATATCTCATATTTCTCCTGCAGAGTAGCTGGCGGGTTCAAACCACCCACCTTTTGGTTAGCAGCCAAATGCCTTAACCACTGTGCCAGAGCTCCTCTTTATTTAGTCAATAAGCTTAAAATTCACAGAACAATTTTAAATTGTAACCAAACTATGCTCGTAGATAAATTAATGCATACAAACCTATTACATATAAGGTGCAGCAAACAGCTCATAAAAAAGCAAAATTGCTTTAATCAGCAGTTTAAATTTGGTGTTGTTGTGTGATATACACTCAAAATATTTGTCCATTAAAAAATAGTCTCCTCAGCTGGATAAGAAAACATAACCCATCAATACTGTCTACAAGAGACACACCTTAGAGACAAAGACAAAAACAGACTAAAAATCAAAAGTTGGAAGAAGATACATCAAGCGAATGACAACCAAAAAAGAATAGGAGTGGCTATATTAATTTCTAGTAAAATTGACTTTAAGACAAAGACCACCATCAGAGACAAGAAGGACATTATATAATGAATGATTAAAAGATCAACTGAACAAGAAGATATAACCATAATAAATATCTACGGGCCCAATGAAAGAGCCCCAAAATATATAAATCAGACTTTAACAGAATTGAAAAGGCAAACAGATGACTCCACAGTCATAGTGGGAAACTTTAATACACCACTTTCATGAAATATACAACAATTGGTAGAAAACTCAACAATGACGCAGAAGAGCTAAATAACATAATCCACCAACTTGACCTTATAGACATCTGTAGAACACTTCACCCAACAACAGCACAATATACATTCTTTTCCAGTGCACATGGAACATTTTCTAGGATAGACCATATGTTTGGGCAATAAAGCAAGCCTTAATAAATTTAAGAACACTGAAATACAGCAAATCATCTTCTCAGATCACAATGCTATAAAATTAGAAATCAACAATAGGAAGATCAACAGAAAAAGAGCAAACACATGGAAACTGATCCACACCCTCCTTAAGAATGACTGGAAATAGAAGAAATAAAAAATGAAATTAAAAAATTTCTTCAAGCAAACAAGAATGAAAATACAACATACCAAAATCTTTGGGACACAGCCAAAGCAGTGATCAGAGGGCAATTTATAGCAATAAATGCACACATCAAAAAAGAAGGAAGAGCCAAAATCAACATTTCAACCCACATCTCCAACAATTAGAAAAAGAACAGCAAGGAAAGCCTACAGTCACCAGGAGAAAGGAAATAAGAAAGATTCGAGCAGAAATCAATGAAACAGAAAACAGACAATAGAAAAAAATCAACAAAACTAGAAATTGGTTTTTTGAAAAGATTAATAAAATTGACAAACCACTGGCAAATTTAACAAAGGAAAACAGGGAGAGAATACAAATAACACGAATAAGAAATGAAATGGGTAACATCACAACAGAACCAACTGAAATAAAAAGGATACTATCAGGGAGCTCTGGTAACATAGTGCCTAAGGCACTTGACTGCTAACCAGAAGGCTGGAGGTTCAAACCCACCAGCCATTCCTCAGAAGGAAGGTTGGGCAATTTACTTCCGTAGTGATACTGCCTCGGCAACCCAAGGAGGGGTCACTATGAGTTGGGTCTGACCCAACGGCACATAACAACAACAACATGAAGAACTGTACTCCCACAAATTTGAAAATCTGGAAGAAATGAACAGATTTCTAGAAACACACTACTTACCTAAACTAACACAGACTGATGTGGAAAAGTTGAACGGATCCATAAGAAAAGAAGAAATTGAACAGGTCATCAAAAAATAACCAACCAAAAAAGTCCTGGCCCAGACAGTTTCACTGGAGAGTTCTACCAAACATTCAGAGAAGTGACACCAATCCTACTCAAACTACTCCAAAACACAGAAAAGGACAGAGCCCTCCCAAATTCATTTTATGAAGCAAGCATAACCTTGATACCAAAACCAGGCAAAGATATCACTCAAAAGAAAAACTACAGACCAATATCCCTCATGAATATAGATGCAAAAATCTTCAACAAAATCCTAGCCAATAGACTCTAATAACAATATCAAAAAAATAATTCATTATGAGCAAGTAGGGTTTGTATCAGGCATGCAAGGATGGTTCAACATTAGAAAAATAATCATCATCCACAATATAAATAAAACAAAGGAAAAGAACCACATGATTATATCAATTGATGCAGAAAAGGCATTTGATAAAATCCAACACCCATTCCTAATAAAAACTCTTCACAAAACAGGAATAGAAGGGACGTTATCAACATAATAGAGGGCATATACGCAAAACCAACAGCCAACATTATTCTCAAGGGAGAGAGAGACTGAAACCATTCCCCTCACAAACAGGAACCAAACAAGGATGCCCTCTATCACCACTTCTATTCAATATTGTATTGGAAGTCATAGCCAGAGCAATTAAGGCAAGAAGGGAAATCAAAGGCATCCAAATTGGTAAGGAAGTAGTTAAACTATCCGTAATTGCTGATGATGTGATCTTATACATAGAAAACCCAAGAGAATCAGCAAAAAATCTACTGGCACTAATTGAAAGATTTAGCATCATGATAGGATACAAGATCAACATCCAAAAATCAGATGGATTCCTCTACACCAGCAAAAAGATTGCTGAAAAAGAAATAAAGAAATCAATACCATTTACAATGTTGTTCTTGATGTTGTTATGTGCCATCAAATCGGACCTGACTCATAGTGACCCCTCCTTGGGTTTCTGAGGCGATATCACTACAGAAGTAGATTGCCCAACCTTCCTTCCAAGAGATCGCTGGTGGGTTTGAACTGCCAGCCTTCTGGTTAGCAGTCAAGTGCCTTAGGCACTACGCTACCAATAGCTACCAAAAAAATAAAACTCCCAGGAATAAATCTTACCAGGGACACAAAAGACCTGTACAAAGAAAACCATAAAAGACAACTTCAAGAAACTCTAAGAAGGACTTCCAGTAAGATGGAGAAATCGGCAGACAAGCGACACAGACCCTCTTCGACAAAGAAAAGAAAAACCAATTGATAGAGATAACAGAAGATAATCCTGGGACCCTGAGCTTTGAAAGGAACTATACAGAAGTGGATTAAGCACTGAACAAAAACAGTGAGTACAGAGACGGTCGGAGCTGCAGACTGTCAGCTACTCTGATGAGACCAACAGCCTGAATATTTCCAAGTAGTGTTGGGACCTGAGAATTGACCTAAAGATCAGTACTGGTCACCAAGGACTGTAGGGACAACTGTTGCTCTGGTGGCCTATGAGTAGGAAGGGGAATCAGCAAGGAAGGAAACAGCCTAAGCTGTGGACTTCCTGCTGTCCAAAGGACGCAACCATTTTGAATGTTTACAAGTGGCGGCCATTTTGGATATTTAAAGTGACCGAGGGCGCAGCCATTTTGAATGTTTACAAGCAGCGACCATTTTGGATATTTAAAGTGACCGAGGGCACAGCCATTTTGAATGTTTACAAGCTGGGGCCATTTTGAATATTTAAAGTGACTGAGGGCACAGCCATCTTGAATGTTTACAAGCGGCAGCCATTTTGGATATTTAAAGTGACTGAGGGCGCAGCCATTCTGAATGTTTACAAGTGTCAACCATTTTGGATTTTACAGTGATAGCATTCTCATTCGGATTCCAGGGACCTAAGAACAGGCTCTGTTTGCTAGTGTCAGCAAGGACATATGAGAGGCTGACAAAGGAAAGGAGACAGGTTGTGAGTGTATAAGTGATGTCAACTAGGGAATACAGGAGCACAGCACAGTACCCTGCCTATATAGAGAACATACAAATAAAACAAAACGAAAAATTGTAGGCAAGTCACTCCAACATATCACCAATTAAATATAAACACAAAAACGTCACAATACCTGGGAGACAACAGAGCATCACAGTCCACACAAAGAAGCAAGATAAAGCAGGAGAAATAAGACACCAGGATACAGACCCAAAACACATCCCTGAGGAAGATGCAGCATTGGAACTCCCTGACAAGGAACTCAAAAGAATTATATTTAGGTATCTTCATAGGATTGAGAGACAAACCAAGGAAAACACAGACAAAACCCCAGAATAATTTTGGAAGAAAATACAAGAACAAAATGACAAAAATAAATGAAAAATTAGAAATGATTCTAAATCTAGATAGAAATCCAGAAGATTAATACTAAATTGTCAGAAATAGACAACACATTGAAAGGGCAACAGAGTAGAACTGAGGCAATGGAAGACAGAATTAATGAGATTGAAGACAAATACCTGAATACTTCTTTGGAAAGGGATCAATCAGACAAAAGATAAAACAATGAAGAAAGCCTAACGTTCATGTGGGATACCATCAAAAGGTATAACCTACGTATCATTGGAAATCCAGAACAGGAAGAGAAAAATTAAACCACTAAGAAAATTGTCCATGATTTGTTGGAGGAGAACTTCCCTGAAATGATGAAAGATGAGAATATATCCATTTAGGAAGTCCAACAAACCCCAAACAAGATAGACCCCAAAAGAAAAACACCGAGACATATCATCATCAAACTCACCAAAACCAAAGACAAAGATTTAAGAATCATGAGAGCAGCACAGGAAAAACTAAAAGTTACCTACAAGGGGCAACCAATAAGACTAAGCTTGGATTTCTCAACAGAAACCATGCAGGCGAGAAGACAGTGGGATGGTATATATAAAATACTGAAAG